CAAACTTTATTATAAACAATTAATTAAATTCTTGATGTATTTTTATCTTATTATAAGTTAAAACTATAGTCTTTAATGTCACGTACTATTAGTCTCTTATTTTAAATGCAAAAATAATTCAATTATTCCATGTTGGAAGAGACATTGATTTGCATTATAAGCTTATTTAATAGAAATTAATTGAAACTAAATAAGACTTTGACTTTTTAGATTTTCCTAAAAACATGAAGAAATATGTAATGATGGTCAATGAATAGAATATTCAATTAGCTATGGTTGCTTCAGTCGATTCTCGTACTGTAATAGTCTAAGCACATTGTTAGTAGATATTGTCCGCTTTGATTCGTTATGTATCGCTGTCAACCTCATAGTTTAAAACGTGTCTGCTATGAAGAGGTTTTCACACCTTTATAAGGAATGTTTCGTTCTCCTCTTCAACTAACGAGGGTTCTCATAATCCACCCTCTTAGGGGCCAGCGTTCTCGCTCGCACACCGCCCAATGTTTGCTCTGATACCATTTGTAACAGCTAAAACCCACTGCTAACAGATATTGTCTGATTTGGCTCATTATGTATTGTCGTTAGCCTCCCGGTTTTAAAACGCGTCTTCTAGGAAGAGGTTTTCACACCCTTATAAGGAATATTTCGTTATCCTCTCCAACTAACATGGGATCTCACAATCCACCCCTTTGGGGGCCAACGTCCTCGCTAGCACACCGCCCAATGTCTGCTCTGATACCATTTCTAACAGCTAAAACCCACTGCTGACAGATATCGTCCGATTTGGCCCGTTACGTATCGCCGTCAGTCTCACGGTTTTAAAACGTGTTTACCAGGGAGAGATTTTCATATCTTTATAAGGAATGTTTCGTTCTCTTCTTCAACCGATGTGAGATCTTACACAAACGATCTCTTATCTTGGAAGTTGTAAATGATTTATTGTTTCTCCCAACCATTTTTGTTGGGTCACGAGAAAAAGAAAATTGTCAAAGACAAAAAAATCCCTCTAGTACGTTCATTAAAGTTTATTATTTATCGAAGAATGTAATTATCGTTATAATAATATATCTCAATGATCAGATCTTACTAGTATTTTAATTATAGTTTGAATGCTTTGACCCTAAAATTTTATACTATAAGATAAGAATTAAAAAACAAAAACCAACCCACATTCCACCAAGTAATGTATCAATGATTCTATATTCCTTATAAAATGATTGATTTTTTCTCAATATTCAGACCTTGTTCCCCATCTTCATAAGACAAGAACATAAAATATTAAAAAAATATATATATTATCTCTCTTATATATATAATGTTTGCCAAAAAGTTCATTGGGTTCAAGCTGTTCTTGATTTTCATCTTCATCCGCCATTGTTGCACCAGGCGAAGCTTTCTTCAGTTCTTCAAATGAAGCCTTCATCAATGGCGGTTCTTCTTCTTTTCCTCATCATTTCCGAAGCTGAAGGTACCATTCAATTCCTGAGCTGATTTTCTGAAATGGGTTTTGTTTTGTTTTTGCAAAGGATTTGATTGGTGAATAAAAATTTGATCTTTTTGGGTTTCTTTTGTTGAAGGGATTAGGTTGCTTGATAAGAGGATGAGCAAAGAGGATAAGAGAAATGGGGGAGATTTGTTGGGGACGATGAAATGGAGAGCTCCAAATAAGGCATGGAGAAAACCCTATTCTCATTGGCTACCTGGCATTCAAGAGGATTATCATGGTCCAAGAAGCCATAAATCTAGGCACCATTAGGGTTTTTTTTTTTTTAGGGTTTTTCGAGACGTAAATAGAAACCGAACATCGTTGAGATGATGTTATTCGTTTAGTAGGATTGACGGTAACCGATTGATTTAGTTAGAACAAATTATTTGAAGAGCTGATGATTTCGATTGTACGAGAAAAACCAGAATGGTAGAGGTGTTCATACGACAGAGGAACTTATCAACCTCAAACTACCTAACTCAACTCAGAGAAAAACCAGTTGAGTTGGGTCGGATTTTTTAAATATTGAAAAATTCAGGTCGGTTCTTCGTGGGTTAACATTTTTTTGGCTGGGTTAACCTAACCCACCAAAAATTAGGTTACAACCCAACCCAATCTTACCCTACTTTTTCGGATTATTATGAAGATTAAGAATATTTGACGTTTGTAACTGAGGTTAGTGATGTATTGTGATTGGTGAAATTCAGGTCGGTTCGCGGGTTAACACTTGACTGGGTTAACCGAACCCACCAAAAAGATAGGGCCACGACCCAACCCAATCTTACCCTACTTTTAGATTATTATAAAAATTAAGAATATTTGACGTTTGTAACCAAGGTTAGTGATGTATCGTGACTGGTGAAATTCAGATCGGTTCGTGGGTTAACCTAACCCACAAAAAAAAAATGGCTACAACCCACTTAATCTTACCCTACTTTTAAGATTATTATGAAAATTAAGAATATTTGACGTTTGTAACCGATGTTGGTGATCTATTGTGACGGGTGAAATTTTAATTAGAAAGAAAAAAAAAAACAACCCGACAACCTAACTCGAAAATAGATGGTTGAGTTAAGTTGAGTCATGAACTCTATTCGAATTGCTTGAGTAGTCAACTCAACCAACTTGAAATTTTCGTTTGACCCAACAAATGGGCACTCACAAACGTTAGGATAGGTGACAACGGAGTAATTTTTTTTAGTTGTAGCTCGAGAAAATTTGTGGAAATAAATAATTATTTTATCTCCAATTAAATGGTTATAAAATAAGATTTGGGAAATTTTTGAAAGCTAATAGGCTCATAACTCATTTAATATATATTTTTCTCCCGCCATTTTTGTGTTTCTTTGACCACGGTCAACTTAATTAAATAGAAATATTTAATTAAAAGTAGTAGAGAGAATTAAAATTAATTAAAATTAATAAAAATAAAAATGAATATTTTAATATTATGATTATAGTATATGCTCACATTAATCAAGACCAATCTATCTAGCTGGCTACCATTTAATCATATTATATAGTTTAATATTTGGGTTTATTTTATTTTATAATGCTTTTTATGAATATTATATGGTAATTATAATTCATTTTTATTAATGATTAAATAAAATATGATTGTTAATCAAGGAAACGGCAGAATGAAACCCGTAAGGGGCAAGTATACGGAAAATCGGCAACATTTATGGGGTCTTTTTGTCATTTTATATATATTTTTTATTAAATTAATAAAAAATATCATTTAACTTTACTTTAAAATATATCCTTAATTTTTTAAAAGAAAAAAAAAATCTAAAAATACCATTAATTTAAAAAATATTCATTAGTTTCCTTTCATTTTTTAAAAAACTTTCAAAACACCTCTAATTTTTTTTTAAATATTTATTATTCACGAATTTAATAATAAGGTGCCAATAGAAATGTATTATATAGTTCTAAATTTTCATATGTATTTTTTAAGCACAGTACTAACGGTAATATATATATATATATTATTTTTTTTATTTATCCTTCCTTTTTAAGTCGAAGAATATTAATTTTAAAGGTTTAATAAAAAATTTTAATTGCTATTTATAATTTAAGGATATTTTAGAAATAAAATATTAACCGATTTCATCCAAAATTATATATATATATATATTTATTTATTTAAGTTACCGTATTATTGAAACTTTTGAAATTTTAATAATATTTTTAGATCAGATATATAATTTATGGATTTTGTTGATTGAAATTTTTTAATAGTTTTTAGTATTATTTTTTATTATTTAAATTTAGAGTAAATTTTATTTTATGAATTATATTATTTTAATGTATTTCATTCTAATTTTCTATAAATATGTGAATTTGATTTACGGTCACTATAAGGGTTATTATTTATTTCGGTCCCTTATGTATGGCTGATAGACTCATCGTTTTTAAAACGTGTCTATTAAGAAAGTTTTTACACCCTAATAATTTTTAAGATTTAACCACCGTACATAATAAGTGGAGAATATATTATATTTTTTTAACTTTTAGCCTCTCGATAAATGATACGTGTTAAAATAAATTGAATTATACTTGCATGTTTTATATTTGGTTCACAAACATCATAAATCAACAATAAATTAACTTCACTCTGCCCCGATCATCTCAAATAAATATTTTGACCCAATTTTCGTTAATCTTGTCAAATTTAAATAAAATAACGAAAAATAATATTCCAGCTATGAATTTGAAAATAGTTGATAGTGTTAGACGAACACGACTCTCCACGATGGTATGATATTGTCCACTTTGAATATAAGCACCCAGCTCTTATGGCTTTGCTTTGGGCTTCTCTAAAAGACTTCATGCTAATAGAGAGGGTTAAATTAGCCAATGTGGGACTTTCATCATCCAACACCTCCCCTCGAACAAAGTTAGTCACTTCGAGGAGGCTTGACTCTTCTTCTTTTGGAGTCCTTTGTTCGACATTTGAGGATTTACCAATCTATCCGCACAACTAAGTTTAGGGCATGACTCTGATACCATGTTAGACGAACACGACTCTCCACAATAGTATGATATTGTCCACTTTGAGTATAAGCTCTCATGGCTTTGCTTTGAACTTCCCAAAAGACCTCATGCCAATGGAGAGAGTATTCTTTGTTTATAAACCCATCATCATTCCCTAAATTGGCTGGGAGTCTTTTATCATCCAACAGATAGTAACTCATTTTTTTCACCGCGTTCTTTCAATGATCTATTTAGCAAATGGAGAGTACGTAAGTTCATTTAACCTGTGGGACCTACCTCGAACGTGGTGAGAAATCTCTATTTAAATGAAAAATGAAGAACGAATTGAAAATAATTTCTCTTAATTAGCTAAACGAACCATGGGGATTTATTATAATATTTTAATAGAAATTAGATTAAAAAATAAAATTTATTTGTTAATTTTTAAAATAAAAATAGATTAAATTAATAAAGCTAAATTAACTAAGTGGTAAGAGTCATAGAACTCTATAGAAGAAAATAGGAATTTTCTGTTGCGAGCCGCAAGAAATTCAGTCAGTAGTTGTAAAATTCGGCTACTACAAAGCTCTCGCGGGCCTCCCCATCTCCCCTCCTCTCTCCCTCGCAGGGTCTCACCGCCCCTTCAGAATTACCCCCGCCACCACCTACCTTCACCGTGAGATTTCGCTTCTTTTGTCCCTTTTAATCGTTTTTTTCTCCTCTTTAAATCATCACATACCTCTCTTTCAACCCCTTTTCTTGTTCAGCCTTCACTGCGCTTCGTTTTCTTAAAAGGGTATTGATTATAATCCCTGTTTTCGTTGTGTATAGCTCATCAGGGTTATCGTCTGTGTTCTGTTTTCTTGTTTCGGTGAATCTGGAATCTGTTTGCTGTTGTTTTGATTCTGGGAATCCTAGGATTGTTGTTATTGGCTTGATTTTCGTTTTTTCTCCTACTCGGTTTGATTCTTGGACTGCCCACTTATGTGCTGTTTTTCCTGTTCATGTGGAAATACTGAATTTGCTTAGGGGATTGGATTGTGTCTTTTCCTTTTTCCCCATTTCTTGTGATGAATTTCTTGAATTCCATGGTTTTTCGTTTTGAATGGATGATTGATATTGAAATGGGTTCGTACTTATGTTGAATTTTCGACTTCGATGAGCATTGGTGAGGAGAATTGCCTCAATTTTCTTTGATTTAGGTGGATGAACGTAATTGACTATTTGGCAATGTAAATGGCATGTATTTTGGTCATTGGCTTGGCATATCAAAGCTGTTGTTCTTCAGATCATTCTAAATTTTGTTCAGAAGTTAATTTTACGTTCTAACGCGAAAAAGCACGTTTACCCATTAGTGATATCAGAAAACACATTGCAATTGTGATGTCCCACATCGATTGGAGGAAGGAAAGAGTGCCAGCGAGGACCCTGGGCTCCGAAGGGGGTGGATTGTGATGTTCCACATTGGCTGGGGAGGAGAACAAACCACCATGTATAAGGGTGTGGAAACCTTCCCCTAGTAGTAGACGTGTGAGTATCTTAATGTGATGTCCCACATTGGTTGGGGAGGAGAACAAACCACCCTTTATAAGGGTGTGGAAACCTTCCTCTAGCAGACGTGTTTTAAAGGGAAGCCCGGAAGGGAAAGCCCAAAGAGGACAATATCTGCTAGCGGTGGATCTGTGGATCCGGGTCATTACACTTAATTTTTACACTTAATTTTTTTGCTTCGGTCTTCAGAGTATGGGAAGCAATGTTGTTGGTGAAACTACGAACTGTGGTGAGGCTGGTGGATCTGAAACAACTATTGAGATTAAGATAAAAACTTTAGATTCAGAAACCTATACTCTCAGAGTGGATAAACAGGTTAATATTTTCACCTTTTCTTAGATCATAAAGAAATGTGCATGTAAATTTTATACAAGTTTTCTAGTACATTAATTTTGTGTACTTGTATAGATGCCAGTCCCTGCATTGAAAGAACAAATTGCTTCTGTAACTGGTGTGTTATCAGAACAACAACGCCTTATATGTCGAGGAAAAGTTCTCAAGGACGATCAGCTCTTGTCTGCCTACCGTATCCTCTATCTGATCGGCTTTTGATATTCTTTGTGGTATAAACTGCTTTTTTGTGTAGGATTTATACTGAGTTGTAAAATAATTTGAACCTTGGAGCACCCTTTTGTAGCCTCTTAGTTGGTGGGGTCTTTCATCCCATTCTTGTACTTTTGATATATTTGCAAGGAAAAGTTTTCGTGTTTCCTACTAAAAAGAACTATTAGATGCTCAAAATTTCAGACGAAATTGGGTATAGGTGTATAGTATTTCTTATGAACTAAGCTCACAAATAGCTGGAATCGCTGTTCAACCGCTAGTTCGTTCATTGCATGATACTTTTTTTTTTTGGTGATATTGTGTAGTCTGCTTGGACTGTGGTCGGTAAATATGTTGTTTTGGATTAATCTTTTTGTGTACTGCGGATTTTCGTACTGTACTGTAATCTATTTAGTATTGTGTATGTGAGATCCCACATTGGTTGGAGAGGGGAACGAAGCATTCCTTATAAGGGTGTGGAAACCTCTCCCTTGTAGACGCGTTTTGAAATCGTGAGGCTGACAGCAATACGTAACAGGCTAAAGCGGGCAATATTTGTTAACGGTGGGTTTGAGCTGTTACAAATGGTATCAAAGCCAGGCACTGTGCGGTGTGCCAGCGAGGACGCTGGGCCTCCAAGGGGGGTGGATTGTGAGATCCCACATTGGTTGGAGAGGTAATGGGCTAAAGTGGACAATATTTGCTAGTCGTGGGTTTGGACTGTTACACATAGTATCAAAGCCAAGCACTGGGTGGTGTGGTGTGCCAGCGAAGACGCTGGGTCCCAAGGGGGGTGGATTGTGAGATCCCACATTGGTGGGAGAGGGGAACGAATCATTCCTTATAAGGGTGTGGAAACCTCTCCCTAGTAGACGCGTTTTAAAATCGTGAGGCTGACGGCGATACGTAACGGGCTAAAGTGGACAATATTTGCTAGTGATGGGCTTGGACGGTTACACATGGTATCAAAGCCAGGCACTGGGCGGTGTGCCAGCGAGGACGCTGGGCCCCCAAGAGGGGCGGATTGTGAGATCCCACATTGGTTGGAGAGGGAAACGGAGCATTCCTTATAAGGGTGTGGAAACTTTTTCCTAGTAGACGCGTTTTAAAACCGTGAGGCTGACGGCGATACGTAACGGGCTCAAATGGACAATATCTGCTAGCGGTGGGCTTGAACTGTTACAATATATCTAGTAGTCACTTGTTCTTTCAGTTGGAAATATATCCTTGTGTATTCCTTAATTGGGCGCTAGACGTTGAAGATGGTCACACCTTACATTTGGTTGTCAGGCAGCCTCTTCCCCTATCAGAGACATTGTCAAATCGTTCAGGTTCAGTCTGCTTTCATGCATTAGTACTCTAGTATATGTATTTCATTCATTATCGATACGTCATTGAATTTTTTTATAACCATTGATATGATTGAAGAACCCTTGTAGCCCATCTCTTGAAAGCAAAATATGCTACTTTCAATTGTTATAAAAGACTGAAGGCAACCTTAAGGCATATATCTAGGCATAACCACTTAATTCTTAAGTACACTACTAAACTTGTACCCATTTGCACATTTTTAATGATATTTGCTTCACCGCCTGGATCACTTCAAACTATGCTGCAAACTTACATGTTTGTCATTCCTGTATCAACTAAATTTTGATTGCTGAAAGTTGTTTGCAGAGACTGATCCAAATTCAAGTACAAGTCGTGTTCATAGCAATCAGGTGGCTCCGGGTGTGGTGATTGAAACCTTTAGTATGCCTGTTCAAGGGGATGGTGCGTCCCCGGAAATCAACAGGGTTAGTCTATGGAGGACGAAGCTCTTTCAGGTCCTTAGTGTAGTATGTTTTAAGTGTGTAATTAAACAATATCTTTTTGCTGCACAGATCGTATCTGCCGTTCTCAGTTCAATCGGACTTTCAACTTCTGGAACGGATGTTGTCAGGGTAAGCTTTCATTTAGAACTCTAGTCTCCTAAATTGTGTTCATTCGGTGCTGTCGTATGTACAATTCTGTCTTTCTCATCTGATTTGTGATGGATGCTGAAGGAAATTGACCAGCTAAGATCTGGAGAACGCGTGATCGCGGCTGGGGTGATAGATTTGAGCCAGCATCAATCTGGTGACGATGGCCCGAGGCTTCTATCTGATAGGTTTCATGGCACTTCTAGACATCCGTCGATTCCTTCTTTAGGGTCGTTTCCTCCTCCTGTAAGTTGAGATTTTCTTTGTACATTTCCAAATAGTTAATATATCCGGGATTCTTATCGGATCTATGGAGAATCTATGGAAAGAAAGAAATCAATGAGGGTTTACGGGGAAGACATAGACTTATACAGAGCTCTTCGACAATGTTGTTTACCTCACTATTCTCGGGTGTTTATTGTACTTTATTTCTACCTACCACGAGTTGATTTTTCTGAAATTCATCTGGTTGACACAAATGGTAGTGATTCTTGGTGTTTGCAGGCGATTCCTGATTCTTTGACGACGTTGTCTCACAACCTCAGTAGCATGAGGCGTGATTTCGAAAATATTGGTTAGTTCAGTCCCGTCTGACATGATCTTGTCATCGTATTGCAAGTCTCCTAATGTGTATAATTAATATTTGATTGTCGCCGAAATGGTGTTGGCAGGCAGGGTCGGACGAAATAATTCTCAAGAAGCTAATACTCATGGGGCTGCTGAGGAAAGCAACTCTAATTCCTCATCTCGGCCGAGCACCGCCCAAGAGAGCTTCCCTACTCCTGCATCGTTGGCTGAAGTCATGCTTTCTACTAGACAGATGCTTATAGAGGAAGTCTCGGCCAGCCTATTCGTGCGTTCTAAGCCATCTCGTGCTCACAATTAGTATGAAACTTTGGGATTATAAAATGAAAAAGTATAATATCTTGGTCTTTACGGTCTGTCAAGCGTTTGCTGATCGTTCCTCCATTTATTAAATATTTCATTAAGGAGCTAGAACGTTTACGAGTTTATAGCTATTTCTTCTTTCGAGTAAGAAGATGGTACAATTTAATTTTTTATGCTTATCTGCTGGTAGCAACTTGCAAGGCAACTGGAGAATCACAGGAACGTTACCGATCCTACACTACGGATGAATACGCAGTCTTCTGCATGGAGAAGCGGAGTTCTATTTAATAACCTAGGTGCATATCTTCTCGAACTCGGTCGCACTATGATGACGGTGCGAATGGGCCAAAATCCTGTATGATTTTCTTCTTTTTCTCTTTCACCATTGCTTCCTTTTAATTTCGATGGTTTCTTAATTTGATGTTCGGCGTGCAGTCCGAAGCTGTTGTGAATGCAGGACCTGCAGTTTTTATTTCGCAAACTGGTCCGAATCCCATAATGGTTCAGTTCTTATTTTCACACCTTGCTGGAAAGTCGACTGTTTTTCGGGTTCGAGATTATATTCTCTTCTGCTAATAATAACTTGTATGAACAGCCTCTTCCCTTTCAACAAAATGCAAGCCTTGGTCCAGTTCCCATGAGAGCCATGCAGCCTAGCTCTGCACTAATTCATGGTCTTGGTTCGGGATTTCTCCCAAGACGTATCGACATACAAATACGAAGAGGTGACTTTCAAACTTCGCCTTCCTTAACTGTTCTTCCTTTTTTGACTGGTCTAGAGTTGTCGTATTTACTTCTACTTATTCCAAGGTTCATCGACTACGGCACCAAACGGTAATCCGGAGGAACAACGCAGTGGAGCTCAGCAGCCTTTGGGGCAACAACAAGCAGCCAGAGGCGCGAGTGAAAATCCCACCGGTCAAGCAGCCAGAGGCGCGAGCGAAAATCCCACCGGTCAAGCAGCCACTAGCGCGATCGAGGGCCCAAGTATGGAAAGAGAATCCGGAGTGCGAGTGATGCCTATTAGTAGCATGGTTGCAGCATTACCCGGGACCTTTAGCCACTTACCTTCAGATTCTTCTGGTAATTCAATTGGGTTGTACTATCCTGTTCTTGGAAGATTGCCTCACCCTGCTTCAGGAAATGCAAGGCCTGAGCTAGGAAGTCGGGCTTCATCAGAGCATCGATCTTCTGACCTCCAGAGTGATCAGCATACAATGCTCGAATCTGTTGCGGAACAGCAAAATGTAGAAGAAGCTGCAAGAGACGGTAATCCTATTAGTATGAGGCGTTGAATAGGTTAATTTGTTTAATATATTGTGAGATCTCACATCGGTTGGGGAGGAGAACAACACACCCTTTATAAGGGCGTGGAAACCACTCCCTAGCAGACGTATTTTAAATACTTTATAAGGGGAAGCTCGAAAGGGAAAGCCTAAAAAGGACAAAATTTGCTAGCGGTGGATTTGGGCTGTTACAAATGGTATCAGAGCTAGACACCGGGCGATGTGCCAGTAAGGAGGCTATTTCCCGAAGGGGGATAGACACAAGGCGGTGTGCCAGTAAGGACGCTGGGCCTTGAAGGGGGGTGGATTTGTTGGGGGTCCCACATCGATTGGATAAAGGAACGAGTGTCAGTGAGGGTGCTGGGCTCTAAAGGGGGGTGGATTGTGAGATCCCACATCGGTTGGGGAGGAGAACAAAACACCTTTGAGAGAAAACTAGGGAAAGCTCAAAGAGGACAATATTTGCTAGTAATGGACTTGAGCCATTACATATATCGAACTGACATGTTTAACAACTTTGTACGCCCATAGCTCTCTCGAGATTATAGTATTGATATCGATATATTTCGTACAGATGGGATCCAAAATAACATGGAATCTGAAGGACATGTTCCAAGCAACGTTGTCCAGTTTCTTCAAACTCTCTTTCCTGGTGGTGAAATCAACATTGAAGACGGTAGTTTCCAGGAAATTAGTGGTTCTGCTGTAAATGTACAAGAATCAGAACCAAGAACTACCGGTGAAGGAATGTTCTTGTCCAACTTTTTTCACCAAATCATGCCGTTCACATCTCGACGAGGCAATGAATCAAACGTGCCTTCAGGAGAGGCAAATACTTCCGAGCGTCGAAACATATCAGATTCGTCTGCACAAGTATAAACTTCTGATGAGACGAACTCTGGTCTTTTTGTTGCTTCACTAATTTTTTACGAGACGGTGGGGTTTGTTGCAGGCTTCATCAAATGGGGATGCTGAGACGTCACGCAGACGAACTGATGGTGAAGCAGGTGCTCCAAGCTCGAAACGTCAAAAGGTACGCTTGCTGTAAAACTTCGTTCCATACGTGCATTTCACTGGATAATATAGTTTAATCTGACTCTTGGCTTGGTAATATAATACCTGTTATATTCATTAAAAAGAACTTGGGATCGTTCATCTCTTCCTTCAAGATTGAGATGAGTCGATGTTGATGTGAAAACACTTCCTAATGTCGATTTCCAAAAACTACCTAGAGGTTTCCCACTCTTCTTTGATCCGTCTTAGGGCCGAGTGGTGGCCTCACCCCAAGTGGAAGTGCGATGTGTCTGGAAACTCGGGATAGTTAACGAATTCATGTTTTACGTTTCCCTGTTGCAGAAAGATTGAGATTATGGGATCTGAAATGCACCTCCAAACTTCTTGGAACACTGCCACGAAGCAGAATCAATAGTGGAAGCATTCTACACCTCCAAACTTCTTGGAACACTATTTCGTTCTCGTTTTTGCTCTTCAACCCCCCGGCCCCGCCGTGTACGATACCGTGTGACATTCCCTATTTTACCCCTTGCCTCGTCGCCCGCCCCCTCGCCCAGCTTGTGGAACCCAAAGAAGTGAAAGAAAGCATTCTTCAAACTATTAGCTGATATGCAGCAGGGTGTGCTCTGCTCCAGTTGAGTTTCATAATGTTTTTCAGTTAAGAGAGCGCCAACATTGATTTTCCCTTTGCATTTTTACCTTTTTTTGAAGTTACAATTATGAAATGGAGAAGAAGTGAAGTAATTGCACGGATGTTTGTATCCTTTTTACATTTTTAGTTTATTATCTATCTTCATATATGTCAATTGGGAAACACCAACGCGATCGCATCGAAAATATGTAATTTTGTCTTGTTTATCGGTGAAGATGGTTGAGATATTCAATTGAACGATCATACACCCTTATACTAACTCAATATGGAATGGTAAAGACCTATCTAGGATGAAAGTACGTAAAAGGGGTTTGGTAACGAGCATGCAACCATGGACAACACGTCTTTGACAAGCAAGATTGGAATATCTGTCATGCGGCCATTGACAACACGCCTTAGACATGCATGACCATGACATCCTCCCCCACTCAATTGGTTGACGTCCCTGTCATCCGACCCGAACAAGCAAGACTAGGATGTGTAGAGTTGCCAAGTTTTCTTCAACGCACTCTAAGGTCATCTCGAATATGTTGAATATGGGTAGAGTAATCTTTAAACAAAAATCTCGATTCAAGTTGAGAACTTTGGATGCCTTTGGGGTGGGTATATGATCGTAATTTCAATCAAAATTTAGTTGAATGAATTAAATCAATTTAATGCAACTTTTATATATATATCACTTGTCACAATCACACTCTTGTAACAGTGGAAGGAACAGCTATTGTGCAGCACTTATTCTAACCTAGTAAACAAGTTAGTTGTGAGAAATTCGAACATCGCAGACAACGTCGGCATATGTTGGGCCTGGAGTCACGTTTGTGAGTAATGTTTTAGAAAATATGAGCGAGTAAATTCATTTGAGAACGATATATATATATATATATATTTAACTTAAGAAATCAAAAACTAATGTTTTTTTTTTTAAAGAAAAAAAATTATTTAATTCACATTATTTAAAAGTAGGCCCATTTTCACGTATAGGCCCAATATTGCTAATAAGCCCATTTTATTGTCCCGTCTGCTCTATAACTCTCTGAAGCAGGTTTAGGGTTTCTTCCAGTAATCGAAGTCTCCTCCTTCGGCCGCCTGAGCAAACAACAACTCGTGCTCTCTTCAGAAGTTCTAATCATGGCGGAACAGGTTTCTATTCAATCGACGGCTTTCACTTCTTTTTTCAGTCCAATGCTTCTTTGTTTTCGTTTTATTGTCTTCAGCGTTCTGTATCTGAGCTCTTCCTTCTTTTTCTGCAGACCGAGAAGGCGTTTTTGAAACAACCCAAAGTTTTTCTCTGGTAAACGAATTGATATACTTTTCTCTGTTTGATTTACTATGGCATATGTTCGAGTTCTTATTTTTTATTGTTTGCTGTAATCCTGATTTTATTTCTGTTTTTCGGATTAGTTTTTGTGATTCTCTTTCCTGATTTAGTTATTGTTCTGTTTCGATACGAAATAGCTCCAAAAAGATTGGGAAGGGAAAGCGACCTGGAAAGGGCGGGAACCGTTTCTACAAGAGTATTGGATTAGGATTCAAGACGCCTAGGGAAGCCATTGAAGGTTCTGTCTTCTTAAACTCTGATTGCTTTGTTTGTTGGTTTGCTAATATGAATGTGTTTAGTTCTTTTAACTTTCGAATTCGCTCAAGCATTAAACGTTGGTAGCTCAACGTACTATTTATTCTGAACTGGTTGTCTTCCTCTATAGAATTTTCACTTTGTGGTTTTATCACTGATAACAAACAATGTGCTGTGATCATGTTAATCTGGGTTGAGATTCATTGGTCACTTCGTTTCCAATAATCAGTAATGCTGTAGAATGGGTGGTTGTTTCTGATTAAGAACGTATTGTAAAAACTTTATTAGCTGTAATGTTGATGATTCTATAACCTTCTAGTCATAGAATGGGCGGTTGTTTCTGCATTAATTCAATGATACCTATTAGATAGATGGATGAAAAAAAGAATGTTCAATCCTTAAAGCATCATCAATTCTACTATGTACCCTATGCGTTGTTACTACGGTCCGATATTTAGGCGATTCTTGCTCACATGTTCTCTGAAATGTTGCTGGAAATAAGGACTATCCAGTGAAAAGGAGAACGTCTTAGTAAGGAAGCACTGTTGCTCACATGTTCTCTGAATTGTTGATGGAAATAAGGATTATCCAGTGAAAAAGAGAACGTCTTAGTAAGGAAGCACTTTGCTTCGCAACGCTATTTACTTACAATTCTGTTGTGTTCATGCAGGAACGTACATTGATAAGAAATGCCCCTTCACTGGAACTGTCTCTATTAGGGGCCGCATTTTAGCTGGAACTTGCCATAGTGCTAAGATGGTCAGAACCATTATTGTCAGGAGGAACTACCTACATTATGTCAAGAAGTATCAGAGGTACTTCCCCGATCCCCCTCCAACTACCTCACCACCCGATTTTTCTCTTCATGATTTTGATGTATTTTGTTTCTTGTCTCCCTCAGGTATGAGAAAAGGCACTCCAACATTCCTGCCCATATTTCTCCTTGCTTTCGTGTGAAGGAGGGAGATCATGTTATTATTGGCCAATGCAGGTACATCAAGATGTGATAAATTCTATCCCATTGATCCTCGTGATAATGATAAATTATTCCCATTGAGTCTCACATTTATTCTTTGAATTTCAGGCCATTGTCAAAGACAGTAAGGTTCAATGTGTTGAAGGTCATTCCTGCAGGATCCTCAACTGGGAAGAAGGCGTTTGCTGGAATTTAAATTATGTAGGCTTCTGCTTTTGATACAAAAACAGCATGAAAGAACTATTTAGAGTTGTTGTAGGCCATATTTGATTCAAGAGGGTTTTGAAGACTTGGCAGTCTGGATTTTGATATCAATATGGACTGTTTTATTCTGTTCTTTTTGTTTTCATGTCCCATCTTATTTCTAGTAAATTTTGGGTTTTGAAGGTACCATATTCTCCTTGTTGTCAGATCATATTAACAAACTTGTTCTAGCAGGTTTTTGGTCGAACTCTCGTCTTGTTTTTCCATGTCGACGTATTGCAAAATACTGATTTTGCTTTTGCATTGTTCCTTAGAGCAAGTAATATGTTTATGACACCAAATTTCTTGAGTCAACAAGGTAGGCAATCTCAGGGATTAAAGTTCAAGGAATATGTTGAGATCCTCCACTTTCTTCTGGGTCTCTTTTGCTTTTCCTCAGGGAAAGTTGGCTTAGAAATGCAACAAAATAACGAGGCATCTGTTTCATCTGAGGTTGCCTTGGTCTATAAAAAGACATGCTGACTGATTGGACTCCAAGGTATGGCTGGAATCCTTATATATAATCACTTCAAGCTTTGTTTTTGTGGCCCAATTATGTTGCTTGTTGTTTTGGTAAGGCTGGAATCCTTATTTATGATCACTCCAAGCTTTGTTTTTGTGGCCCAATTATGTTGCTTGTTATGGATAGAAATTCTTCTTTGTTATTATCAATGCCTTTCCAAACATCTCAATCTCTCTCCTAAGGCTTAGTCGTTCTGCCTATTTATCCCTTAACATCTCATTGCTACATTTTTGTTGCCTCTTGATACATCCAATTGCCATTAGATTAGAACATAGGTTTCGTAGGTGTTTGGGAAGAAAGATTATTCTATTCAAGTCGATCCCCTTCCATCTTATTGCTATAATTTTGTTGCCTCTTGATACATCCCAATTGCCATTAGATTAGAACATAGTTTTTCGTAGGCGCTCGGGAAGAAAGATTATTCTATTAAGGCCGATCCCTTTCCATCTCATTGCTACAATTTTGTTGCCTCTTGATACATTTGATTGCCATTAGATTAGAACATAGGTTTTCATAGACGTTTGGGAAGAAGGATTATTCTATTCAGGTCGTTCCCTTTCCATCTCATTGCCACAATTTTGTTGCCTCAATTGCCATTAGATTAGGACATAGTTTTTTGTAGGCCTTTGGGAAGGAAGATATTATTCTATTCACGTGGAAGTGATGAAGTGACATGATTTGGTTTCTTGTCGATCTTGACGTGAAGGGGTGGAAATGACTATTTTTTTGAGCAAATTCTAATCAAGATCGAGATTGAACTAAGAACAAAAAATTGTATGATTAAACGTGTAGGCCATGGACTCAAACTACAAGAATTTTAATTAAATTCTATTACTTTTTATGCAATTCAATTTAAGTTCAAATTCCTAACTCAACTATTAGGTAAAGCATTAAATAAGGAAGCAAAATGGACCACTAACCCATGTTATTGTTGGATATTCACATCTTAAACCAACCATAAATAATTTTAATTTTAATTTCGAAATTATCGCAAAAATAAACTCTGAATATTGCATCTGATTTATAGTTTTTTTTTTTTTTTTTAAATTGCATTTATTAAATTTTTAATCTTAATGTATAAACTTTTAATATTGGCATTTGTAATAAATTTATGCATTTATTAAATTGAAATACATTCATTAATGAGAGTTTATTTATTTATTTATTTTAATTATGTCATTTTCATTCCACATCTCTTTTTGTCACAATTATTGCTATTTAATTATAACCCACCGACTTAATTAGTAATTTTAAATAAATATGTTATTAATTAATATTAATGGGAACTTTTTTTTGGTAAATATACAAGTTGTAATTTGTCATATTTAGGGGTTTTTGTCACTTTTTTTGGGAACTTAAAATAAATAAATAAAAACAAAAAGAAAAAAAAAATTAAAATTGATGTTAGTGATTGTGTTGCGTGGCCCTATTTGGCAAAATCCAAAGTGTGAACAGAATCAAAATTTTATTATTTTCTTTATTTTAAAAATATTTCGCCTTTCAATTTAATCATAATAATATATATTTTTAAAATATCTACTTTCATTTTATCAAATATAAATATTTATTGGTCACTAAATTTTAAAAAATTTACATCAGATATTTTTATTCCATTAATATAATACATGAACAAACTAACTAAATGATAAAAATAAACCATAATTCAACTAATTAATATATATATTATTTACTAAATGTCAGATATTTGAATCGAGCGATAAAAATATAATAATTTTTAAAGAATAAAGGTGATGGGTTGTGGAAATAATACTATTATTTGAATTTATGAATGGAAAAAGAAAAAGAATGTGTGAATTAGGTTCCTTTCTAAGTCCTCATGTCATGTAAAGGTAGCTATCACCATAGATGC